GTGATAGAAATAACTCTTAATTTTCCCTTACTGTGCAGCTATAGTTTTTTTTCCCAAATATACAAGTATACTGTATCCTTTTGATTCATACAAGAACTGAGAGGGTACCTTGATTAGTAATGAAAAATTTAAATACCATATGACATTTTTGTTCTACACAAAGCACTTTCATAGGCATCCTTCATTTGAGAACTTACAGACAAGGGAGTATTGCAAAAAGACAACTAGATGTGGGGTCAGAAATACAGATTTTAGAAGTCTAGATCTATCTCTTTACTATTTCCTGATTGGGTAGTGGTGATGGGGGATGAGGTGTGTGTCACTATCATCAACTGTGACCAGGGCTTTCACTGGCCCATATGGTGTTGTACAGACCATACAAGTGGGAAAAGGGTGCCCACTTGGGGTGACACAACCCTACAGGTACATGGTTTGGCAACTAGGACAGTAGCTTTGAGCAAATTAGAAAAAAAAAAAATGCCCCTTTGTCCTGCAGGTCAGCATCAGGGCAGATGGCTTGGCAAGCGGAAGAGGCAGATTTCAGACCCCACTTGCTCTCCTGCACTACTTACATGGCAGCCATGCCTATGACTACACATTGATTGAGTGGTTCTCATGTATCAGTCATCGTGCTAGGAACTTTATATAGATTAGCACATCTATTCCCCATTGGTTCCCTATGAGGCATCTTCATTTTACAGATTTTAAACTAATTAAATAGATTGAATGCCTGGTTAGGGTCATACAACTAGTAAGTGGTAGAGTCAGGACAGAAATTCTGGTCTATGTCACTTACACAGATCATGATCCTAACTACCACACTACACAAATTATCTTCCTTCTTGAACCCGTCTTTCCCTGGAGTTATTCTAACAATTAAATTTGATTGTGTACATGGAAAGGCTTTGCATATTTTAAAACACTACTGCACCATAATCTTTTTTTTTTTTTTCCTTTTTGTCTTTTTTCGTGTCTGGCAATGGATCGCAACCCTCAGGCGCTCCCAAGTGGCGCACTGTAGCAGTGCGCCACCGGGCCGGCCCCTGAACCATAATCTGATCTTTACAGTTGTGTTGTTTAGTAAAAATCAGTGAGCAAAAACTGGCTAAGATGATTTTAAAATACTTAGGTTTTAAGATTTTCAGTAGCATATAGATTGGTTATAAAGTAGCAGATAGAATTCATTTATAGAGAAGGGATTTTAAAAAGGAGAGATTTATAGTAAGACAGGCATTATCATGGGTCGTCACTTGCCATGGATGACAAAGTTTAATTGTTATGAACAAAGGAAATTAATAGGTTAAGTAAAATAATGGTAGAATGATTTATTTCTCTCTTCTTTAAGGAAATCTTGACTGATCTGGTCACTGGTTTATTTCATGCACTATTTCATTTTGTTAATTAAATTATCCAGGAGCCAAAAAAAAAAAAAAAAAAAAAAAGGGGGAGGAAACAGAGTGGGAAGGATAGAAGAATATTTAAAAATCACAAAACCTCCTAAACTCCTATTCTCCTCTCCCCACTAGAAATTTGACTAGTTAGCCCTTCAAGGAAAAAGATAGGTTGGCTTTTTAAAAAGGTAGATTTATTTTTATTTCTGCCTGCCTGTTTTGGAGGGGGAATGTTCTGATAAGAATGAAGTGTCTTTGAGGATCAGAGAAGAGTGGTGAGAAGTGGGGCTTGAGCTTGGTATGAAATCTGATTAATTGAGCTTCAGTCAGAAAATGTGTGTAGTGGTTTTTTCATTATTATTTTAAAATATAATATGTGAAGAAAACCCCATGCCTTGAAAATTTTGTCCTCATTTTTGTTCTAGTGGCCTCCAGTGCTTGATTCTTCAAGCCTGGAAGTATTTACATTTCCTTTTAATTGTCTAAAATGGAACCAAAGTTTATCTGGTCTTTAAAAATGTAGCAAAGAAACTGTGTCTACTGTTTCCAAGATAACACATAGAATCCAGGACAGAGGATTATAATCACTGTTTCTTTAAAAAGTCTGACAGATGCTCTCTCACTGTGGCAGTGTTTGGGGCATCATTTTGTCTAAGCAAAAATATGACTAATTCCTGTGTGAAAATTAGTATATTAATAACTCAGCATGAAATCAAGGAAGTTCATTCTATAAATAAACCCTAAATTTTATTTTTAATTTTTACTTCTGCTTGATAGGACGTACTATAATATGTACTTAGAAATGAAAGAGATTATTAGAACATTTAGTGTTCTTGCTAGAACTGCACTATCCGGTGTGGTAACCAAAGGCAACAAGTGGATATTTGAAACTAATTGAAATTAAACAAAATGTAAGATTACCTTCCCCAGTTGTACTAGCCACATTTCAAGTGCTCAACAGGTACATGTGACTAGTGATTACTGTATTGGACAGCACAGATAAGGAACATTTTTATCATCATGAAGTTCTGTCTTAGAATATCCAATATTCTTCCAGCATATTGTTACTTTCTCTGAACTTTTCTCAAAATAAATGCTCCTCTTTAATTTTTTTTGCTCCTGGGTATTAATATTAATGAAGGTTGGGGTGGAGGAAATAGACTAATGAGGCCTTTTCTCCAGACAGCCATATATTGTATTGAGGCTCATCCTTCTACCCACTCACCTAGGATTTAGTGAGTACCTAAATCAGCACTGTGCCTGATACCAGTAACTCAGAGATGATAAAGACTTGTACCTTGCCCTCAAGGAGCTTACAGAATCAAGGTAGCTATCCATTAAACAAAATCCTTGTGTAGTAGATGCCACATTTTAAAAATCAGAAATGCACTTTAGCATTTAAGAAATACTGAGTACATGAAAATATTTTAATACTTTATTTTCCGGAAAGCCCATTTCTCTTACTTATTTTTTATCCTGAATCACCCATATTCTTTTAGCATTTTTTAAAATGCTAATTCAATTCCTTCTCTTAGGATATATTCTTTTTAAAACTTTCAATTGTGTTTTTTTGTAAATTTCCTTATAAGAGAATGACTATATTTCATGCTTTAAAACAAGTTACAGCCAGACAGGAAAAATAAGCTCTACTGGTGTACAGTAGCATTAGGCATGTATAATTAATAATTTATTGCAAGTTGTCAAATGGCTAGAAGAGAGGACCTTTAATGTTCTCATCCAAAGAAATGATACATTTTGTGATGATAAATTTGCTAACTACCCCAATTTGATCACTATGCATTGTATACATGTACTGAAATATAACTCTGTACCCCATAAATATGTACAATATAAATGTTTCAATTAAAAAAAATGGAAAAGATATACGCAAACAAGATAATAGAAACTAGAACTTTTAATTACCACTGAATATTACTATCCATCAGAAATCACCTGAGTTTGTAGACGGTATGTAATGTAAATATCACTATGTATACTCATTAAATAGTATATACTCATTAAGTGTAAAACTCATTTAAAATAACTATTCTTCTGGACCTAATCTAACCAAATCTAAAAGTCTGTAGGGATTTTCCTCTATAGGTTGTTTTCTTCTCCACAGGACATATATTTCTGAGATAAGTGGGATACAGTTAAAAGTCTTTGAAAACAGAACTAGATATCAACCCCAGTCCTATTACTTAGTGGGGTAACCTTAGATAAGATACTTGACTGCTCAGAACTTTAGTTCTCTTATCTGTAAAGTGGGATTAAAACTACCTACTTTGCAATGCTATGCTTTTAAAAAGAATTTTCATATATAAAGGCATTTATCAGTGCCTCATGAATGCTAGACACTCAACAATTATCAAGTTTCCCTTGCCTTGCTGTAAAGGCATCTTTTAATTCATAATTGGTGGTGAATGTGTATTATACCAAACCTTCGGCATTACAATTTTTTCTATGCAATGAATATAATAATGATAATAACTGAAATTTATCAAGGCTTACTATGTGACGGGGACTGTATTTCATAAGTGCTTCACATAATTATTTTATTTATCCTCAACAATAACCCTATGAAGAAAGGAAGATAATCTCCATTTTATAGAAGAAACAGAGGCTCACGGGGATCAAGGAACCTGCCCAAGGTCATCCCTCAAACACTCTCAAGTTTATATAGTCCTTTGTCCACACTCTGAAACCATGAGAAGCTGTGCTGGAAGTGTTCCAAAAACCAGTGAATTAAATGATAAAAGAGTGAATTTTATGAAATGTGAATTATGTCTCCATAAAGCTGTTATTTAAAACAATTGCAGAATGTATAGTGATTAGAAAGTGAGTAGAAAGTAAAGATTAGCTCTGATATTTTTCTCTACAGCATCAGATTTTATGGTGAGCTCGGTCTCTAATTTTTTTCTTTTTACATTTTTAAAAGAAAATTCTGCATCAAAACCTATTCTGAAAACCAGTCTATTCCCAATGCCCACTAAGAAAAACCGCTGCCATGGTTGTATGGGTCGGACAGCCTGAAGAAGGTGTATCTGAGAAGTGACATGCTCAGCCACGTACCAGTCTTACCTGGTCAAAGAATAAGACATTGAAACAACACAGACTCCAACTATTACGCTGAAACTTATTTTTTAAAAACTAATTATGGCCCAAGAAAAATTAAAAATTTATTAAGGATATTGAAATAATCTGGGAGAAAATAATGAGCTGAAAGAGTCCAGAAATAATTCCAAAAATAAAATGTGAATGTATTTCCTTAAAAATGCTCTGCGTGCTTTGCATACCTTCCATTATTATTTCACTCTCTCCTTACCCTTTTGACTTAGAAAACTTTTTTGGATTTTGGAAAGACTGATATATTTGACTAAAGACTTAATCACGAGAATATCTGTACATTTGTATTGTAGGGAGAACAAAGTGTGCTAGATTAATTAGAACTTCATGCCTCAGGTACAGAAAATAGCAATAAATGCTGAGCAACCTGGGTCCCAGCTTAAATACAAAGGTGTGAAATTCAGATACTGTTTCATTTAATCTAGTCATCCCTTTGATTTCTGCCTGCAGGCATTTACAGTATCAAGGAGCCATCATTGTTACCTTCATCCATGCCATTAAGTAATTCAGTTAAATCTTCATTTTTACTGTCAAATTGGTGCTCCTTCCATGTTTCACCATTTTCACTTCGAAGAACAATGAGTTCTCTCTCTTTTCCTCTCATGGACCCAAAGTGAGGGATTTCCACTATAACGGGGCTGGAAAAAAAAATCTACATTATTTCGGTATCAAATTAAATGTGTTTATAGTATCATACTTAAAAAAAAAGGTCTCATTAACAGTATTCATTTGAAAATCAGAGGTGCCACTAAGGTTGGGAATGATTTCAAAGCTGCAGAATCATTTGCTAATTAAATAATATTATATTAGAAGCCTGATAACATGCTATCATTCATTCATTCACAAACAATTCTTGAAGGTCTACCATGTGTTAGGCATTAGGCTTAATGGGGAAATATTCAGCACATATAAATTTTGAATCAAGGAATTGAAAGTTATTAAAATAGACCATAACAAAGAAAGCTGGTCCATTTTTTCAAACACAACAGGTATATTGTACAAAATGCTAATGATTTAAAAGGACACAGTCATTTCTTTAAAAAAAGAAATTCTGTAACTTTCCTAATTTAAAAGATTATTGCTGTATTTTTTTCCCTTAGCAAGAAAACAATCAATATAACAATTCACTCCCTCCAGTAGTCTGTTTCTATGACTTTCATGGCCTGTATAGACAGTTTCTCTGATTTTCAATTTGTGAAATGGGTAGTGGGCAGTTTCATTTCCTGACTCTAATATAACTTGCATAGGAATACTTAAACTTTCTGAAAAAGCACATGTTGGTTTGAAGTTGACATATTAATTTTTGACAGTGTCCTTTTGCTAAGAAATGTAAAAGAATGACTGCAAATTGAAGATAGCCAATCAAGCCATGGGAAACAATTTTGTTAAATTTTTAAGTAAGATAAATACTTAAAAAGATGAATGGAAGTAAGCAGACCACAATCACATACAGTTTATGTAGTTGGATTGTGCAGCTTTATTTTATGACATTTAAGCAGACAGTATCATTATTCTCCTACAGAGTTTGTATGTAACCTCACCTCTTAGCCTATATGTTTATGTGCATGTGGAAACAGAAGAGAGTCTTAGCTAGATAAAAGTACAAAAAGTTGTAATGATCAAATAAAAACATATGAATATTTGATTTATTATGAAAGTATTCACTTAAAATGGGGATGATTAATATTATAATTTTACTTTTGGCAAAATAATTGTAATTCAAATTAAGGATTGTAGGAATAATTTTTATAATGCCTTTACTCTTTAACAGGCAGAAACAAAAATCAACTATTCTTAACAGTTAATAATTTCAAGAGTTATGAAGGTATTTACCATAGTTTTTATCCACACCTTATAATTACACATTAAATTTTATTTTATTTTGAGAACTAGATACAATCTTTGCAGGTCGAGGTGTCAGATACTGTCTCTGTAAATATTTAAGGAATGTGGCTTTGTCTATGACATTCAACAATACTGGAGGGAAGGTATGAACAAGGGTCTTTGACCAAGGTGAAAGCCAAGCATAACTTTTCATAACAGGTTTCTTCATGCAGACTGCCAAGGCAAATATACCAATCAAACAGACAAGCGAACAGACAACAAATACCAACACATTTCAGCTTAAACAAAACAAAACAAAACAAAACAATTTAATAACTTTAATAGACTGTTCTACCTGCTACCTGTTTAATTTTCTTTAAATATCTTATATTCCCAACACTTTTTAAAATTGATTTATTTAATAACTTTAATAGACTGTTCTATCTGCTACCTGTTTAATTTTCTTTAAATATCTTATATTCCCAACACTTTTTAAAATTGATTTACAAAAAAAAAAAAGATTTTCTATT